ATTAACTGAAATCTCATGGATGGAACATCAACCGTCATCAAATTTCTACTAGTCTGAATTCTACAGATCATGGACTTGGCGGTCTAGAGCACATAAGAATTAAACGAGAATTGGCTCGCACCTCATGGGTTCTTGAAACAACCAAAGAAATTGTGGGATGATAATGATACGTTGCAACAGCTGTGGTGGCTGCGTTTTTTGTAGGAAAAACAAGGACACAATACTGTCTTTGAATGAGCTAATTTTTAATATTGAATGGTTTATTCATGGGACAAGCTAATTAAGTTATAGTTATGAGTTTTGTTTCTAAGCTAAAAGACATGTTCCTCAGTTCAAAACCGATCTAAGCCGAACCACAGCTGACAAAATTTGAAATCAGCGTGCTACAACACGGACATTGAAAAAACTAAACTTAATAATATCAAAATTTTTCAGGCTCTATCATTTCTCAATCTCATCGAAAATTTAGAAAAAAAAAATAAAATTGTCTTTTAAAGCAATTTGATTCAGCTCAAACCCAATTTAGATCAAAAGTCTGTACTAAGAGCTCGAAGTTGACTGGAGTTTGCACCTTGTATCGGAATGATGCAAGATTTCTGATAATTCTGGACTCAAAAGATGCGATAACAAAACAGTACATTCTACGCGCACACAAAACTTCATGCATCAAGGCTCAGAATCTGTTTAGAATCTGCCCAGAAGCTTTCATACAGCAGCGCTACTTCGTAATTGGAGTGAGACTAGCACCACCCAGCTCACGTTTTAAACGTTTGATTTGCTTGATGCACAAAACCTTCAGATATTTCCTTCGTCATTACAGGAGTTGATTTCCTTGGACCATTCTTCATTGAAAATGGAAAACAAATGGACAAATTCTATGCTATCATCTACAACTGTCTTACAAAAAGAGCAGCTCTACTCTTGCCAAGATATAAAAACTGATACCTTTCTCATTGCACTCGCTCGTTTTACAACAAGAAGAGGTACACTTAATTTTTTACACAGTGACAAAGAAAACAATTCTGTAGGAGCTATCATTGATTTCAAGAAACGCCTCAAACGTTTCGTTCAAAATGAAATGAAGCCTTGAAAGGAAATTGAAACCACAAAAATGAAATCGAAACCATTGATGTCGTTTGGAAGTTCAAACCAATATATTTCCCACATTTCGGAGGTGCACCAGAGTGAATAATTCAGATGCACGATCATGATTTTTCTTGGTTCTAAACAATTTACGCCAGATTTTTTCAAAACTACTCAAGAAATAAAATTGATGTTGAACCCCGGAACTCACAAAAGTTGCTGATATCACAGACAATGAAGACCCCCTCACCCGAATCTGTTTTCTTAAAATTAACGTCCCTTCAGCAACCTACCACCCGGAACATTTGATAATCTAATACCATATCTCGCGACTATTACAAAATGAGTAACTACCAGCTCTGTCTCGCAGAACATGCGCCACAAAAAGAGGATGTAGTCTGGATCTTGAAAGAGCTGACGCCGTGAGGAATATGGCCTTAGGGACGTGTCACAGGCAGAACACCCTGGACGAGATGGGACCACTCGAGTGCTCACCGTAAGGACCACGGCGCACGAAACCTTTGATCGCACGGCTAGCGCACTAGCACATGTTTTTTCGCGAAACTCAAAAATCTCCTTGACTTGAGCTACAGTCGTGGCCCGGTTGCATGATGCTTAAGGAATTTTTTCACACTTTCCAAAATCATCCAAAAAGTGAAAATGCATTCTGAAAGTCAATCTGATTTGGAACACGCCAACTTGAAAGTTGAGTTCACAATCTTGACACTTGTTTGATAAGAAAAATCCTAACATCATCAATCCAATATACACAATTGGCAGCTGGCATCGCTCAAACGAAATTAATTCCTAAGCTTTACTTACAGCAGGCTTACTTTAATTTGCTTCTTTCTTACTGTACTGCTCATTCTTCTTTTCATCACTAGGTTATTAACTCATACAATGTTTTGTAACCTTATCATATGTTTTCCCGACAAAGTAGGCCAAATTAGCTACTCAAACTGCAGGTGTCTGAAATGCAGCCATAGCCAAAGAACACCTTTGATCATTTTTTCATTGGGGCACTTAGCATAGTGGTAAGGCGTTCACTTTAGAATCGTCAGATCGTGTAATCGATCCCATGCCATGGGAATGCTAGTGTGTGAGGACGAGCTCTCACTTGACCTCTAGCTTCAGGTCTACCACAACCTGACCAAATTTGGCTGCAAAAGTGGTACCTCGTGAAAGTTCTAGACGCGCAAAAACGGCCTTGAGTCGCAAAAAAGAGCTTCGCTCAACAAAATAACACAGTCTGGAATGTGGGGAAATAATACAAACGGACTATCCTCGACAGGACTGTTAAGGCCTACTGATAGCTCCTCTGCGATTCGCAGGAACTACAATTATTATTAATATTTTTCTGAAAATGGTCTCGTTCTGGAATGATCTGAAAATTTTGAGCCTTAAAAATACAAGAAGTCGTCTTTAGCTTAAATTAAACTGATAAACGTTGAAAAAATAAAGAGATTGAAACTTTTTTTTACGAAACTTTGAAATTTCTTTTCGATTGATATCAGATAATCGCAATTTTATTTCATTTTGCTAAATATCTTTTAATTTAAACTTCGCAAAAATCATTTTAATGTATAGTCGGCAGTTTTATCAAAAATATCTGTGGCGAAACATTTTTTTGTTGACGAATACTCTTGTTTGTAACATGAAACATTTGCTAGTTCTCAAAAATAATTTGAATAGTTGTTTTAAAAAATAGTTTAAAACAATAGTATTGCTTCCTCGATCTGGACGCCATATGTTGTTTGTTGATCCGACCGCCCCTTTGGAACCGTTAAAAGATGTCCAAGTATGGCGAAATTGCTATTCAACATCATAAGAAAAGCCTCTCATAAACATTTTGAACCTCATCTGTTGCATTTGCGAGGGAAGAATGGCGCTCCGATAAAAAGTTTCCTTTGTTTTCGAGTGCAAACGAGACTTCTCAAAAGTAGCAAGTAACGATATTTTTGGTTTGGTCTTATTTTTTCGTTTTAAAATCGATAAAGATTGGAATTAGGGTAAAACTATCCCGTTAATTTTTTTAAAATGGAAAGCCCATAAATTTTTCACGTGTTTATTACACAAGCAACGCTTGTGTTATAGTATGAACTATCTTTTTTTTCCAACCTAAGTCGCAAATATTCTTGCGACGCAAATATTGTTGCGATAAAATGTTTTCATTTTGAAAGTGTTCATTTTGATCAGTAACCAGCTATTAAGTAACCAATGCTAAGGATATTAACTCAGACCATTATTGTTCCGACTTTCGTAACGAAAGTTACGGAATATTTGCGCTCAGGGGAGCCATTTTTGACGGGATTTTCAAAATATTGTTCTAAAGGTATTGTTGCCCTGAGCTTAAGCCTGGAAAAATATTTCACCTGTGATCATTTTTCGTTAAGTTATGGGGGTTTTAAAATTGCCATTTTGGCCAGTTTGGGACAATTAACGCGCGATATATTTCGCGCTATAAACGCGTAAGCGGCGATTTAACCCGTCTTAGAAATCGTTCCAAATTGGTTGAAGGTGGGGGATTATTCTCACATTGTGAAATTTTCGAATTGTAAGAAAAATTCATTTTATTTTTTTTACACTTAATTTTTTCATGTTATTACTGCTCTTGAGACAGCTCTATAAATTGAAGCATATCAGTTTCTTTTTCAAATTGAATGGTACTGCTAATGCCTCTTAATTGGTGTGCGTCACTTAAGAAATTTTGTAGACTCAAAGTTTTTCTAGTAGCGTTATGGGTCATATTTTGCTTGTGTATGCGTTCTAAGATGTTCTCTAGTTTTTTCATCATATCACGCACAAAAACGGCACAGAATTGAAACGAATAATATTCATAATAATAATAATGAATTTATTCGAAACATTCTGTGCTACTTGCACAGCAACTGGCTAATTTTGTAGTTCCGACCATTGAAAATGGGGAGGAACTTTGGGCGTGTTTAAGTTTATTTTCCACGCAAAATCAGGTACCACAAATAATCATCGGACTGGGTTGAGTAATATATATCATATCAAAGCCCTTACAGTCGTGATTTGAACGACAATATAAAATTTCAGCTGTTTTTCTTACAGTGTCGAGAAAAACTGGTTTGAAATTTTTTATTTTTGTTCTTATCTCGAGCGAATAAAGCGAGCGAGCAGTCTTATTTTAACTGATTAATTAAGCTTAATTTAAAAAGTAAGGAACTTAGTTTTACTTGAGTAGCGTTTGTTTAAATTGAGTATTTTAGCGCCTTTTTGGAATCAAAATTTCAAAAAACTTTGATTTGTTTATCAGTTTGCTTACTTTACAATGACTGTCGAATATACCTAATCTCCAGTTTTTTTGTTCAGCTCCTTTAATCACACCACGCCGAAAATAAAACGACAATAATTTGAATAAAAAACTTTGTTGTAATTTGTAAGACTATGGTCAGAACATTCTGTGCTACTTGCACAGTAACCGGCTATCCTTGTTTAAATGGTGATCAAGCAATTTAATCAAGCAGAAGTATGAAAATGACTGCATGAAAGTGACTTCTGAAGTTATAAAAATTCAATTTTGAAGCTGTATTGGAAAGGACTTGAAGCTATGTTGGAGACTTTTCATCTGAAGCTCGTTTATAAAATTCGTTTATCTAATGGAGAGCAAATAACGCTCTCTAATAATGAATAGGGAAATGGTGCAAAATTGAGGTGGACTTTAAGTTGACCAAAAAAACTACGTGTTTTAAATGTCTTTCTACCGGTTTTGTGATTTGGGAGATTTCAGAATAAAATTATTTGGCGAACCAATTAACAAACCGCCATTTAAGCACGCAAAAATCATAGAACCGCCTCTGCCCAAAATGTTGTTTAATAACTTACAAGTTCTAAATTATTTAAATAAACTATATTTGAATTTTCCGTTCTAACTCAACATTTTTTTTGAACAGATTGTTCCTGATTACCAACGCAACGCCAGTGGCAATAAACGGATGCAGAACAAAATTCCGAAGAGCTACCAACCTGCTTTTAGCTCTACTTCCAAAACTTCAACTGGAAGAACTGAAGTCGCTGATTACAGTCCATTTATGACTGCAAAGGTAAATATCATGGACCCTAATCATAGACTGAACCATGGATGGCTCTCGCTGCTATATCTCTGAATTAGCTATTACTTTTCTTGGCGACTAAACCCGGGACATAAAACAGTTTTCAATCGCAGCGCAGACCATTTTTGTTTAAAAAGTGCAGCTAAAATCTTAATTCGTGTAACGGAGTTCAAAACTTCAGTATCAAGTACCAATAGAGATTTATGCTGGTAATTTATATGCAAAGGTTTTTACTGAAGAAAATATTTTGACCTTCACACGATTTTTCATTGATTGACTAGGTTTGAGGAAGATAATTCAACGTATAGTATCAACCAGCAACGTCTTGATTGATGATCGTACGAATTTGACCGAAATTGGAAGTTGTGCAGAACCAATCTGAATCATAAATGTTCAGTTTAAACTGTTGGTCAGTTTTTCTGAGAGTAATTTTAAGTTTGTGGTGGTAAATTTATTTTGCTTCATTTTTACAGCCTGATTACTACACTTCTGGTCGGCAAGGGATATCACCCGAGCCAAATCAACCAACTGGTTTCATGTGTATGCATCCTAACTCACAGAATCACTTATACCAGGTTTCTAATTCGTCCAAGACTAGAACCAAGCGCCGTCCTTCCACTAAACAAACGAGCACTGGCTACGAGAATTCCTCGTCTCGCAACCCTGGATCTCAAGGGTTCATGACTCATGAATCCAATGCCGGCTCAAGATACTACAACAGTAGATCGCACGTTAATGTAGCGCCTGGTAATGTCCAGTACAGAAACTACTCCTTATTTGGAGATGATCAAACTTTGAGTGCCGGTGGCGATGAACAAAGATTTGTTCAAGCATCGATGTCATTAAACATGCAGCCAATGCTTAATCCTGAAGAGGACAACTCCATGTTTAGTATCCAGCAGCAACAGGACGGATGGTTGTCTGGATTTGACCGAAACTGGACGGTTGTTCAGAACCAGCCTGAGCCAGAGATGTCATTCGCCGAAACTCCAGGAACCCCGGATGTTCTTCAACCACAAGGAATGAGCAGCGAGTTTCAGTTGGATTTCAACTCGATGTTTCAGTTTCCACTGAACGAAGCAGCCAGGGCATTCCCTGGTGACATCAACTTTGAAGGCCACACTTATTCGCAACTACCTTCCGCGCCTGGAGGCAATACCTTCTTCTCGCCGACTACGTCCAACACATACGAGTTGTTTTCGCCCGTCTCTGTTCCGACCAGTTTGTTGACACGTGAGGGAGGAGGAAGTGGCGCTTTGTCCGACTGGAGTTTCTCAAGCGAGGCTCTAACTGATTCAGAGGTATCGTCGGCAGGTTCGCCGAACAAGATGAGAGACATTGATGTTGTCCATGGCCTGAGATCCAAGTTGCAGTTTGGAAGTGTGGGTTCTTGTGATGCTACTACAGACTCGAATGAGCCGATTCAAACGTACGCTCCGTTTGCATTGTTTCCGAGTTCAAGCCAAGACCCTAATACTGGTGGCCAACCTCCGAATCAAAATTAAGCCAACCTCCGAATCAAAATTAAGAAAAAAACAAGTTCACCGGGATTGACTTAATTGCATGTTACATGTTTGTTCTTCTTAATTGCAGTGAAAAACAGTGCTTTTGTTACGGATTTGTTGCAATAGTGACTAGTTTGCTAGTTCATGTTAGCTATTGATGTTTCATCGTTAGGTTTTTATCAAGAGTAAGAGTCAATGAACGAAGTGAATAATCAAATTTTAAAGAGAATACAGGAACTGCCAAAAAATCATTTGTCTATCTGATCATTTGAGCTCAAAAGCACTTAAAAACTGATTATTACTAGTTGATTATTTTTATTTGACTATAAGCTACATGAGATATAATCTCTACGTTTAAAATAGTTTCAAATTGTGTTAAGTTTTCTGTATTTTGTTTGAGTTTCCTTGTTTTTTCTCTTCGTTGCAGTATAAATTGCTATATTTCTTTGGAAATGCCTGAAATGTATCTCTAAAACTTCCGGATGCTACTTAAGAGTTGTTAAAACTTTGAAAGTGTTGCTTTAATTTAATCTTTGTTGCTAACATCTTTAAGAGCAGGTTGTCAACAAACTTTTAATTTACCCAGACTTTACTTCAGAGCCTTGCCAAAAAACGCAGTAGGCATAAAAAAAGCTTGGATTTAAATTTTCTACGAAGGCGATACAAAACAGACATTTGATTGATTTTTTTTTAAATATAACGGAGTAGCGCAAACTCAAACAAAGAAAAAAGAAATATCCAGTAGCAGTGCATGTAGAAAAAAGGAAAGGCTCCAACTCTAGTCAGAGGAGAATCTAGTGTTTTCTCGAGGGGGCAGTACTTCAAAAAGTTCTCGATAATCATGCCTTACGACTTTTTTTATGTCGACCCAATTGATTTTCCGAGCGCTCTCAGAGCACTATAAAGGCCCTCTTTTGACAAAATTTGTTGTGCCGCAGACAATTTTTTTTAATATTACGTTTTTAAATTTTTTAAACTATTACCTAGTCCTTCAAAATGCTGTAGGGTTGGTCGGCCGAAAATGGATGTTATAAAACAATACCGAAAAAGGAACAAAAACAAAAAAGAAAAAATTTGACCATTTTATCTCGACTGAGAAAACTAATATCTTTTTATTAAGAATCCGATTAACGACTTTGGTACTTATCTTTTATCTTTCCCATCGCAAATTAAGTGTTAATGAAGGACAAGAAGCCATTTATTTAGATGTTTTGCTTTCGTTTTTTGTCATGAAAAGGTCTCTAAAAATGTTCACATTTACACTTAACAGATTTGTTTTCATTGTGGTTTGATTTTTGTTTTTGTTCCATTTCTTTTCAAGTTCAATTCAAATGTAATTGCTATAATGTAGGCCAATTATGACTTTTAGTAAGTGGCTGACTTTTAGTTTCAAAATCGGGTTCTTTAATTTTATAGGTCTTAGCGGAACAAAAACTTATGTGTCGTTGTTCCAGTTTTATCAAATCGAAATGTTTTCATCAAAAAAGTGTCGATCATAAAAAATTGAAAATGAAAGAACTTAAAGCGATTTTTTGTTTGAAACTTAAGCATCAAAAACAAAAAGTCATCATTCAAATTTCGTCAACTCTGCTGGCTTAAATAGAAGCCATTCGAGAAAAAAGTAATTTTTTGTTTGAAACTTAAGCATTGAAAATAAAAAGTCATCATTGAAATTTTGTCAACTCAGCTGGCTATATTAGAAGCCATTCGAGAAATTATGAACAAGTTACGAAAAGATTTATTCGAAGTTTAGTGACCTTGAGCATTTTTTTGATATTGAGCTCATCGAAGATACTGCTTCCAAACAAAACAGAGTGCTCCCAAAAAAATAATTAAGCAAAAACCCAGCATTTGATTGAGAGCAATTTACAGCTGCGAGTGTCTAATTGTTAATAAAAAAAATGAAGGTTGGAAAGAAAACTTTGATAATGATATGAAATAACAAACCTTGATCAGAAAATTTATTTCAGAAACTTGCGCTCTGTTGTTGATTCAAAATTTTGAGTTTTTACATGGAAGTTTGCCGAGAACAAAAAAAAGATGCTGACTTCTTTTGTTTGAATGAAAAAGTAGCATAAGTTTTGAAAAAGATTCAATAAAATTTCGAAAAATTTTAAAGGTAAGAGCAACTGATTGATGTGTAAGTAGCTAGTCAATTCAGCTACCACAGCAACTAATGTTAAATCAGGTATCAAAAAAAATATAAATTTTTTGTTGGTATCCCTGTCTCGACAGTTTACTTCGGTATCATGAGGAAATGTAAAACTTCAGGGAAAAGCACCTTTAGGAATCTGCTTTATCTTTGATTGAATTTTTGAAAACTAATTACCCAGATTGGTAGCAAGCCAGATTGGTAGCAAGCCATTTGTTCGCAAAAAACTGACGTAATAACAAAATTCCGACTGTTCTGTTTTCAATTAGCAAGAATTTATTTTCCCTTTTTGGAAAGATTTTTGAAGAGATAGCCCACTTGATCATCTTCAAGGTTTCTTTTAAATGCAAGTTAATTTAATAGGGAAAAACCGCATTAGGTTTCGTTCGCTCTCTTTTCTAGAAATTGGTTGCATTGAAAACGGGGCTCTTTGTAGTAGTTAGACATAGTTGAAAGATGCCCGAGGGAAAAAGAGCCCGGCCTGAGGGCACGAAGTGCCCGATGGCGCTCTTCTGCCCGAGCCCATCTTCAACTATGTTCTAACTGTTGAAGAATATGTTTTTGCTCTTTCTGAGGGAAAGATGCCGGAAAATTGTGAAAGAGCCCGGAAAATTTTGAAAGAGCCCAGAAAAGTGCGCGAAACTATGCAATTGATTTCATTTTTCATTCATGGATTCTAATATTTCATTTTTTCATTCCTTCCTTGTCGTGAAAGAACATGTGTGAAAGAGCAAAAACATACTCTTCTGAATTATAAATAAACTTAAAAATTGGTTGTTACTAAATAGATATTGCAATGCATGGAAGTAATCTGGCACAGCCAACGTCTCAAATCTGCACCCTATGCAAAGAACGAAAATGCCATGCTTAGCTGTGTCCTGTGCTCCTTCATTGTGCACAGACGTGCCTTGGTGTTGACGTGCACACTGCTACCTGTGGATTTGTACTATGGACATGTGACAAATGCGGAAAACTGTTATCACTGGAAAGAGTTTACAATTTTTTATTCAATTACTGCGCGCATTTAAATTCTTGAAACTGATGTACAGCAGATGCAAAGCAACGCTCCAATTAGCTATAAATCAACTTGAAACGTCTCAGATGCCAGCATATCCATATCCGTATCTACAAGACGCCTAACTGACTCAATGTTTGTGACAAAAGTTTCTGATATCATTCGCCATTCACTGGAAACCGCAGTAACAGCCTGAGTTCATCAAAACGGCAACGTGTGAGATCCACTGACAACGGGACCAGTACTGATGAACAGCGAAAGCCAATTCTTACGGGAACAAACGCATTACATGGGTTGAATAGCGTAAGCAAACCTCCAGCTCGCTGGCAGATTTATCTGGAAAAAATTTCCACCGATTTCAAACAGACGATTTTGAAGAGTGGTGTGCAATTGGTATTGCTTCCAATGCTCATATTTTAGAAACAACAATAGTAATAGGAGAAAGTTTTTTATTCAGAAATTGTTTCTGAACAAAATTGTATTTCATGCCGTCCTAAATTGTTTCTTTATAATTAACGACATAAAAGTTTGAAAAGTTTGGCCACAGCAAAGTATTAGATATCTCAACTTTTGTTCATTTCATTCCGAAATTGAGGCATTATCATATTGTCTGTTTAGCAATTCCTTGAATCTTTTTTATTATACTCAAGACTTGGATTTCCAAGGAAGAAGCATACGTTTTAATACAAATAGTTGGACATCAGATTTTTACGATGAGGTGAATATTCCTCGCTTTTGGTCAAAGAGGTTGAATAGCCTTCTTATACAGAAATTGGCAATAAGTGGAAAACTTATATGAATGTTGTTTCCGAAAGAGAAACCAATTGCTCAGTCGTTGTATGCCGACCACCTTTTAAAAGTAATGTTACTTTCGTGAATATTTTTTTTCAAAGTTTTGACTGTTGAATTCTCAACTAAATTAAGTAGTTTGATTTGTATCGGCGTTTTCAACGTTCACTATGATAAACATATGGACAAAAAATACATCATGCTGAAGAACGCATCAACAAATTTTCATTTAGTTCAACACATTACGGAACCAACCCATAACAGATAAAACGTTGTGGACCTGCTGTTTACTTATTTGAGACCACCAATCTCCGATCTTCGCAGTTTTAAATCTGAAGTTAGATCACTTAATGACTCATTTCTCGGTGCCTATCCAAGATGATACTCGCAAACACAAAAGGCATAACAGACACCGACAGTGGAAAAAAATTAACAAGAAAGGGTTCACTTTTCATTTGAGTTGCAATTATGAGCTCAATATGAACTTAAATAAAAATCTCGTAGTAGTTTTATTGAGTAATTTAGTCTTTTCGACTCTTGGACACATCGCTGATGCCCACGAACTAGTAATAAAACGAAAAAAAAACTGATCATTCCCTGGATTTTTTTTGATAAAAAAATGTGCCAGATGCGCCACAAGCGGCAAAACTTGAACGTCAACCTCAATTTGGAAAAACTCAGAAATCAAATTATGAAAGTTCTGAATCAAAGTTAAGACGTTTAATTTCCGGAAAAAATTCTAGATCAGAATCGAAAGCAATTCCAAAAAAATATGGGCATGCATTCAATTTTAAGCGTAAGTAATCGATTATAACGGATTATTATGATGATTTTTTGACAATTATAATTGGTTATATTTACCAAAATTAGGTGTTTAAGGATTTATAATTGATTATAATCGTGATATTTTCCAAGAGATTAAACTCTCTATAATCGATTATAATTGATTATAGTTCTTACAAAACAACTTCAAAGTCAATTATTTTCAATTATAATCAATTATAATCTCTTATTTTGCCAAAATTTTGTCAATTCAAAACTATATATGATTTATATCTTGTGGACTTTTAATTTTGTGTCAATAAAAAATCTCTAAGAAAGAGATCTCTTTAACACTTTGGTTCATCTGAACACAAAGTCTTACCACGAAACAAAAGTTTCATAGAAATCCTTTCAGATTAGTGGAAAGGTTCCCGCGGTAGATGAAAAATAAACCTTCCGAATCAATCATGAAACTAAATCAATTTGCTGATTTGTTGATGCTTAAAAAAGCTTAAAATATGCATCACAAAACAA